TTATACCTTTTAGTCCTTATTTACACTTTCAGTTTCTTACATTAGAGAAACTGTATTTGGTATTTACACGTGTCCTATTCATTTCACTAAAGAGTATGGCCTCAGTGTGCATTCATTTAGCAATAAATGTCTCTAATTTCTCATTTTTTTATGGCTGAGTACTCCATTTTATAAAAAAATAAACCACATTTTCCTTCTCCAGTCTCCAGTTGATGGGCAATTGGGCTGCTTCCAAGCTTTGGCTATTACAAATTGTGCTGCTATGAACATGGGTGTACATATATCATGTCTGTTCATTTCAGATGCCCATTTTTGGATTGGGTCTTTAAATTTGAGAGGTCTGATTTTTTAAAGTTCTCTATAGATTCTACATTCTAGACTGTGTCTGAGGAACAGCAGATGAAAATTTTTTCCCACATTGTGAGTTGTCTCTTCACACTGTTGATGGTTTCTCTTGGTGTGCAGAAGCCTTTTAATAGGAAGAAATCCCACTTGTTGTTTGTGCTAGTTCTCGGGCAACTGAGGCTTTGTCATAAAATCTTTTCCTACACCAATGTCTTCAAGAGTTATACTTAACCTCTGTTACAGCCGGTTAGTGTTTCTGTTTTAATATTTAGATCTTTAATCCATTTTGATTTTAGTTTAGTGCATGGTGAGAAATATAGGCCTAGTTTCTAGCACCACTTATTGAAGAGGCTGTCTTTCCTCCAGTAAGGGTGTTTGGCTCCTTTGTCAAAGATGAGGTGGCTGAGTGTGTCTGGTGTTGTTTCTGCATCTTCTAATCTATTCTACCGGTCCTCAGGTCTGTTTCCTTGCCAGTACCATGCTGTTTTTATCACAGTAGCTTTGTAGTATAGCTTCTAGTTGGGAAATCTGATACACCCTACCTTGTCTTTATTGCCTAGAATTGCTTTTGCTATTCGAGTTCTCTTCTTGTTCCAAATGAAGTTTTGGATTGTTGTCTCTTCACAGGTCTGTGAAGTGTGCTGCTGGGATTTCAATTGGGATTTCATTGACTCTTTATAGCAGTTTTGGAAGTATGTCCCATCATTGAGAATTTGTAGCTTGACATGATATATCTTGGTTCTTATTTTTTCCCCATTCCCCTGCCCTCCCTTCAACCCCTCCACCCCTCCCTATTTACAAAGACTTTGTTTCCATTTTTTCCTTTTCTCATATTGTTTTCCTTTCCCTTCTTTCCTCTCCCATCCCCTTTCCAGTTCCCCTTCCCCATTAGACCTTTTCTTCCTATTTCATATTATCTATTACACATTTTGATCCTTATTTACACTTTTAGTTTCTCACACCAGAGAAACTATTTGGTATTTACACATGT